TTGAAATTATCTCTTGAACAAACCGAGAATTCAGCCATAGTCAACGTATTTAACGCCTCTAGTTTTATCAAGATCTGCATGTTCTCCTATATTTCGGCGGGTTGAAAAGGCGGCTCAAACAATTTCCAAATAAACCGCGGCCGACAAACTCTCCTGTACACTATTATTTTACAAGGTGAACTGCAATGTTTTGGAAAACTATTCGTGTACTCAGAATGCTTCAGAGGTTGTAAACATACCAGGATACCTTTTATCCTAAATAAATGTCTTATTAAAACCGTAGATTGCGTCAGACATGTTGGCTTTTACCTCACAGAATGAGCTGCTATTTACAGGCTTTAATAAATTGCATAATATGTCACTGCCTGTCTACTTAAAACTGGCATATAGAGTATCCTGCTAGAGCCCGTTTAAACTGGGAGTGATTTTGCACGACTTCATTCTGCTGCCGGCCAAACCATGTGACTGTTCGTCAAAAGTAGGCGAGTCAGCTGCCAATTCGAAAATTAAATGCGTCTCGATTAATGAATTCAATTAAGACAGACGCCAAATCAGTGTTTCGGACCTGACCTCAAATCCCATAAGTAGATGAATAAAAATGACTAATTAAATGAGGCAAGTTGTTGAAACCAGGATGCTAGAACATTCGAAAGACGATTGATATGAGATGAAATCAAATTGGCAAACTGATGCTCTAGCAATAGTTTATCGTTACTGTGTCAGTGAGCTAAAAAATATGTCTTTTATTCTGTTTATCAGGACTAATCAGTTCTCAGTCTGCGAATCCATTCGACCGCAACCATAACACCTACATCATAGGTGCGGCCGAAAGACAGGCTATTTGCTAATGTTGCCAGACTCCACAGACAGTCTTCAGACAGAAGATGGAAGGCGTAGACCGGTCGGTTCGAAGTCGAGAGGAGGTGGTTTGATCTCCTCTCGCAGCGCATATTTCTTGGCTGTATGGATTTCCAAATTTCGGCGTATGGCTTTATTAATTTTAGCCCCTTATTCTCAAGTATTTTGCTTGTTCGATACACTCATCAGCGTGCTTGTGTATTTCAGCTAGCGTTTGGACATTTTACTTAAAACAATGACGAAGTCAGCCGGTAAAAATGGGGACTCAGGTAAGGTTTTCTTTTGATTAAACCGACCTTATCCCTCCTATAAATTTGTTACCATAGTTCTATGTAACAAGGCAAACGGAACAGCTATTCTGGGTGAATTTCCTACATTTTGCATTTTGAAAATGCTCAAGCTGCTGTAGAATCCAGGCAACGGTGATTAAATCCTTCTCGGCATTTAAAGTTCAGCGACATGGAGGGAATCTACTTTATAAGTTCCAAAAGTGTTTACTAGACCCAAACTGTGAACTGGTCCTGGCCCCAGGTAGCAGAGGGAAATACAGTTACAGTGCGTGACCAATCTCATGAAATGTTGGCCGAAATTCTGAAATGTGTTTTCGATTAAGAAGGATTACTTAGGTGGGGTTGTAATATTGATTAGCATGCAGCATAATCCTATAGGATCATGGAATCACCAGGATGTCGGCTTTTGGATGCACTCCTTTCTGACCTTCTGCAGAAACCAAGATTTGGAAAAGGTGACTTCTTATGTAGCATGCATGTTTAGTATTGATTTTCGATGGTCTTACATATTCAAATATATTCTGTAGAAAACATGCACAGAAATATGCCTTCTTTTACTCGTTTGGTAGAAAATTACACTTTTTCCATATTTTATACCTGAAGAAAGTGCATATTTTGGTTTTAAAAAAGTTTTCCAATTCCCGAATAATTTCGAGCCGGATCTGCCATTGAATTAGCATTTAGCGATTTCAGTTAACAAGGTGCATGCTATCCGCCTAAGGAAAATCATATATTCCTCTATGCCTTTAAGAAGATACCATAGAGAGTTCATAACATTTTTTAAGAGATACAGACTGTGTTGTACATTTCATAAGAAAGCTCGGGAAACGGACATGTACGGCGTTGTATATATGGACATCGCACGGTCTTGAAAATCTCATAATTAGAAACTTTTTAAAACCTAAATATACACTTTCTTCAGGTATAAAATATGAAGACAGTGTAATTTTCTACCAAACGAGTAAAAGAAGGCATATTTCTGTGCATGTTTTCTACAGAATATATTTGAATATGTAAGACCATCGAAAATCAATACTAAACATGCATGCTACATAAGAAGTCACCTTTTCCAAAGCTTGGTTTCTGCAGAAAGTCAGAAAGGAGTGCATCCAAAAGCCGACATCCTGGTGATTCCATGATCCTATAGGATTATGCTGCATGCTAATCAATATTACAACCCCACCTAAGTAATCCTCCTTAATCGAAAACACATTTTAGAATTTCGGCCAACATTTCATGAGATTGATCACACACTGAAGTAACCTGTTTGCATGTCGTCTAACGGAGGAGTTCGTGCATCTTCCTATATGATGCGACGACAATTTAAGAGATGTTAGCAGGATATTCGAGTCATCAAAAAATCTGAGTCATAAATTAAAAAATAAGTTGCATTCATATCTTTAAAACTGCCTACGCTCCATTTTTCTTCAGGCAGCGGTATTCCTGAGGCCCTTCTGACCCTTAAGGAGCGCAAAAATGCAGCAATCAGTCGGGATGCCGGTATTGGAAGATTTGGTTTTAAAAAGTTAGACATCAAATGAGAGCCATTCATTCGGGGAAATGTTTCGGCGGATAGATTTTCCGAAGCAGAAACTTCAATGCATCCATTCTTTTGCGTTAGTTAATGTTCAGTCCCCAAGTTTCAATGGTCATTGAACTGGAGTCCATTGTAAACGATCCGAGACAGCAACAATTGAGAAACCGCGCAAAAGTCATTTTTTAATCGCAAATACTTCTTCAGAATTTTAAGAGCGCTTGAATAAACCAGAGTTCAGATCTTCTGTCGAGAAAGCCATTAAGTTTTCCACGCAGCAAGAATGTTCTACGGTCAAGCTAGAGACAGTGCAATATCTCTAAATACAGCTCGCAGCTAGGAGTTATTCTCTATACGAGAGGCAGCAACATACGAACAGTTACGTTTCCTGCGCCGATGTCTCCAGGACAAACTAACCCCACGATGCCTGAGATATAAAGCTCCCGTTAATACGACCATGGGAAGACACGTTGTGAGGCGGTTTGTCAAACAGATGACAAGAGTTCTGATCGACGACTGTCACCGGCGTTTGCAAGAGTACCAGGCTGAGAGCGAGGAGAACAGAAGTCAGTGTATCCACACTCTCGGCGATTCTATCGCCGCAGATTTTAGGAAGACGATCTCCGCTCTGGCACACCACAGGCAAGCCAAGAAGAGATAAGTTTTAAAACGGAAATTGAGTAGGCTAAAACCATGTGGCACACAAAGCTCAAACTTGGTCCATAACCTCTCGTCTAAGCAGTTAACAGAGCAGCAACTACGAGCGTTACAGCATGAAACTTTTTTCAACACTGCAGATGCCGACCCTGTCGGCTTCATTGCAGCCCGACGACATGAAACACTCCGTCCGACAATGTGTTACCTCCTTGCTGATGACACACAGACCAGCAAAACGTATTTCGCAGAGTGATTCAAAGGCTATGAGGGAACTGAGGAGGGACGACAGCATTATCATTCTACCTGCTGACAAGGGACGATCAACCGTCGTGATGGATCGGGAAGACTATAATGAAAAGGCTAAAGCCCTCCTTCATAACAGAGAATGTTACAGACCAGCACAGAACTCACAAGCCAAAGCAGTGGCAGATCGGCTGAGTAAACTGCTTAGAGAATACCGACATAAAACTGTGATCACGGAGAATGAATGGCACCAAATGAAGGCAACTGACACCGCTCTAGCTCGATTCTATGGTTTGTCAAAAATCCATAACGCAAAGGTCCCACTTCGGCCAATCGTTGTCCTAAAGGGCAGCCCCACCTACGATTTCGCAAAGTGGATGTACTCAAAACTGATGTTCCTCCAAGGCAATTCGATTACCTCAGTTCGATCAGCCTCTCAATTTCTCATAGACCTCCGAGGTCGGAGGATTCAATCGGACGAGATTATAGTATCCTTCGATGTGACGTCGTTATTCACATCCATCCCACCAAACTTGGCCCGCAAAGTCATGCTCAAGAGACTAGAAGAGGCGTACGATGAGACGCAGAATGCACTCAAAATTTAACACCTCATGAGGCTGTTTGAATGCTGCCAACAAACCTTCTTCACTTTTGCGGGAGAGACCTATGAACAAATCAAGGGAACCCCAATGGGCTCACCGGTCTCCGGTTTAGTGGCAGAATTGGTGGAGTTAGAAATTATTGCCTTCATCCAACATGAACTGGTGTTTTGACGCCGTTACGTAGACGAAACGTTCGTCATCGTAAAGAAGGATGTGCTGCAACATTTCCACAGCCTGATCAACGCAGTCTTCCCTGATATAAAATTCACGAGGGAAGAAGAACAGGAACAGCAGTTTCCCTTCTTGGATGTGCTTGTCAGGCGAAACCTTAACGGTGAACTTGAAACGACGGTTTATAGGAAGGCAACGAACACCATACAACTTCTCAGTTTTCACAGCAATCATCCAATGGCTCACAAACGGAGCTGTGTGAAGACGCTCTTCAAAAGGATCCAAACTCGTTGCAGCAAACCGGATGAAAGAGCACATGAGGCCCGTTATCTCCGTAACCAGTTTGTGCACAATGGCTATCCGAGGGCACTCATAAGTCGCGGCCTACGCGGTCGTCGCCAGAGAACTCGAACATCAACGCCTCCGCCGATATGGCATTTTCTGCTATACATCAAGGGCGTTTCAGAAGCGACCGAGCGCATTGCTGCGGAGTTAGGTGTTGGAATTGCACACCATCCCAAAGCCACCATGCGCAACAGGGTCATGAAAATAAAAGACCATTTAAAACTTTAAGGGCAATATGGAGTATTTTAACGCATTCCGTGCCAAAAATGTCCTTTTAACTACACAGGACAGACTGGACGCATGCTCGGATCGCGCATACAGGAGCATAAGTCGGCTGTGCGACGAGGCGACGCATTATCACAAGTGGCGGCTCACACTTACGAAATGAGTCACGAGTTTATCATCGCAGCCACCAAAATAGTCGCCCACGCCGGAACCAAAACAGACCGAGAACTGATTGAAGCCTGGGCCTCGCATGTGAACTCAGTCAATCGATTTATCGATCTGTTTTGGTTCCGGCGTACAGAGCCCTGCATACTCACCTCCAGTCTTGCGTCGTCGGTCGATGATTGGCCAACGTGCCTTATAACTGTCGTTTGTTCTGCTGCTGCTGCTGCTGCTGCTGCTGCTGCTGCTGCTGCTGCTGCTGCTGCTGCTGCTGCTGCTGCTGCTGCTGCTGCTTCTACCTTTGACGATGGACTCCTGTACGAGTCTGAAAGCTCAGGACAATAAACACAGTGTTCCGGTGCTCGACTCTTCTTCTTCACTTATACATACACCTGGATCTCTAAATACAATTAGGATAACAAAATCAGCCCCATTGCGGTGGGACTTTGCAAACCGTGTGCCAGATTACTTCCGCTCGCAAAACTACCTGGACAAAACCCACTGTATTGAAAGAACGCTGCTATGCCCTACGGAATTTTCTGCAGGATAAATGGACCCGAGCTGCCAAGTTGTTGTGCATGCAGAACATGCATCGTAAACCTGACACTGCAACCCTGAGGAAAGCACCTGTTCTATTCACTGGAACATCGCGGGCAACCATAGGTTCAAGGGAGGGTGTGTGGAGGAATGGACTGATGTCCGGATTCGTGCCCCTATCACATGTTAACTTTAAGTATATGCGCGGGGTAAGGAAAAACTATACAGAACTGCCTGCAATATTTTTAAAGTAGATCTTGTTTGGTAGAGATTTTGGTTGGCCCTTCGTCGGCAAGATGACATTCACTGGACTGTACCGTCCAGAGGATTCTGCGCTACTGAAATGTCCACATTTGTTCGTTGTACTGCAATCCTCACACGTGAATTTTTGGTAAGATTAAGGCTCATCATTAAAAAAAGGTTCGGTACGGAAAGCAGCCAGGTAGTTAGAAATTGCTCAAAACACCGTCAGATGGAATGCGTACGTCATTTGCCAGTAAAGCAGGAGAGGGGTGTAGGGGTGTCAGCGGTGGGTTCACGTAATGGTCGTGGTGGTCGCTCACTTGCCTGCAGGTGAGACTGCGCCTAGCGTCCACTTGCTGGCACTCAACTCTCACCTGTGGCTCCACGTAGCTGGACTCTGCTCAGCGGCCACACCCCGGGCAACCGTCTCGACCGGCGGGCTAAACCAGGTGAGGGGGCCCTGTGCGCTGTGCCGTGTGCACAGGGTTTGCGGATTCCGCTGGATGGAAGGTCGGATGGAACCTTGCGTCGGCACCGTCGTGACGTGGTTCGTCTCTGCACGCCGCTGGACAGCCGGTGACGGGATGGATCTCCACATCGACATCGCCTTGACGCGCCCACCTACGCCTTCGGAGACCGCGGCTTACGGCGAATTCGAGTCGCTCTCCACTACAACCCGAAGTCGTGGTCCCATAGTGGAGTTCGGCCGTGCCACAACGGCACATGGGCAGCCCGATACAGGGGCGGAACTGCCAGCCCCCACGAGGGGAAGGGCCTAGAAAAGGTGGCCTAAACATTGTTGGATACCACGCCGTCTCCAAGGCTAGCCAGGGCCGCAGACGTCTTATCGTGGTCGAAACAATCAAAATCGAAACAACAACAATACCTATAACAACAACAATACTCGCTCACCTCCTCATCCTACCTCTTCTTTCTCTTCCTCTGCCTATTCTTCTCCTTCGTCACCTTCTCCATCTCCTTCCCGTCGCCCCACTCGCTGTCACCAGACTGGCAGGGTGAGTCCGCTCAGTCTGGCAGCCTGGAATGTTCGTTCCCTTTTAGACAATCCGAGGAGCAACCGACCGGAACGGAGGACGGCGCTAGTGGCACGAGAACTGGCGCGCTACAAGGTGGACATCGCCGCACTCAGCGAGACCCGATTCTCCGAACAAGGCCAACTGGAGGAGGTGGGTGCCGGCTACACCTTCTTCTGGAGCGGTCGACCCAGAACACAGCGACGGGACGCCGGTGTCGCCTTCGTCATTCGGAACGACATCGTGGGACGACTGCCCTGTTTGCCGAAGGGCATCAACGATCGCCTGATGAGCCTCCGCCTGCCTCTCTGGGGAGGCAAATTCACCACCATCATCAGCGCCTACGCTCCGACGATGACCAACCCCGACGCCGTCAGAGACAAATTCTACGAGGACCTGCACGCCCTCTTGGCGACTGTGTCGAAGGTGGACAAGTTGATTGTCCGTGGTGACTTCAAGGCCCGCGTCGGCACAGACCATACTGCCTGGAGAGGAGTGCTGGGTCCCCACGGTCTCCGCGGCTCAAACGACAATGGTCTGCTGCTTCTCCGCACCTGCGCAGAACACCGCCTCATCCTGACGAACACGTTCTTCTGTCTGCCGGAGCGAGAGAAGGCCACCTGGAGGCATCCTCGGTCGCGCCAGTGGCACCTGCTGGACTATGTCCTCGTCCGGAGGCGAGATCAGCGGGACGTGCTGGTGACGAAGGCGATCGCGGGTGCTGACGGGTGGACCGACCATCGCCTCGTCATCTCGAAGATGCGTATTCGCCTACAGCCTCGCAGGAGACCACAAGGTAAGCGACCCCAGGTAAGGTGAATGTTGCTTTGTTGTCTTTGCCCGCTTACCCTCCTCATTTCAGCTATGAGCTAGATCAACGGCTAGACAACCTTCCTATCGCTGCCTACGAAGCCGCTGCCGAGAACGCCTCCGTGGAGAACCGCTGGTGTCAACTGCGAGACACGGTCCAGGCGACGGCGCTCACCGTCCTCGGTCGCGCTCCCCGCCAACATCAGGACTGGTTCAACGACAACGACGCCGCCATAAGAAATCTGCTTGCTGAGAAGAACCGCCTACACAAAGCCTACTTAGATCACCCCACTGAGGACAACAAAGCTGCCTTCTACCGTAGTCGCCGCCACCTTCAGCAGCGACTGCGCGAGATGCAGGACGCCTGGACTGCTCGCAAAGCTGAGGAGATCCAAGGCTACGCGGACCGCAACGAATGGAAGAACTTCTTCTCCGTAATCAAAGCCGTCTACGGTCCGCCGACGAAGGGCACTGCTCCTCTCCTCAGCGCCGACGGCAGTACTCTCCTAACTGAGAAGACGCAAATCCTGCAGCAATGGGCCGAGCATTTTCGAGGCGTCCTCAACCGCCCCTCCATCATCCCCGACGCCGCCATCGAGCGTTTGCCGCAAGTGGAGACCAACGTGGACCTCGACCTCCCGCCATCTCTCCAGGGCCATGCAGCAGCTCTCCAGCGGAAAAGCACCCGGATCGGACGCAATCCCTGCTGCGGTCTACAAGCACGGAGGTCCCCAACTGATGGATCACCTGACTGCGCTCTTCCAGGAGATGTGGCGTCAAGGTGAAGTCCCGCAAGATTTCAAAGACGCAAACATCGTGCATCTCTACAAGCGCAAAGGGAATCGCCAAGTCTGCGACAATCACCGCGGCATCTCCCTGCTGAACATCGCCGGGAAGATCTTCGCCCGCATCCTTCTCAACCGCCTCAATAACCATCTGGAACAGGGCCTTCTGCCGGAAAGCCAATGCGGCCTCCGTCGTCATCGTGGGACCACGGATATGATCTTCGCCGCCCGTCAACTTCAGGAGAAGTGTCAGGAGATGCAGACCCACCTGTACTCTACCTTCGTGGACATGACGAAAGCCTTCCACACGGTGAATCGTGAAGGACTGTGGAAGATCATGCAGAAATTCGGCTGTCCGGAGCGATTCACTCAGATGGTGCGTCAGCTGCACGACGGTATGATGGCGCGAGTCGCGGACAACGGAGCTGTCTCAGAGGCATTCGCAGTGATCAATGGAGTGAAGCAGGGCTGCATACTGGCGCCTACCCTCTTCAGTCTTATGTTCTCTGCCATGCTGATGGACGCCTACCGCGACGAACGCCCCGGGATCCGTATCGCCTACAGGACGGACGGTCACCTGCTGAATCAACGACGGATACACTTCCAATCGCGCGTATCCACAACCACCGTTCACGAAATCCTCTTCGCCGACGACTGCGCCCTGAACACCACCTCGGAAGAGGAGATGCACCGGAGCATGGACCTGCTCTCCGCCGCCTGCGTGAACTTCGGTCTGGTCATTAACACGCAGAAGACGGTGGTGATGCACCAACCGCCACCCGACTCAGCCACAGCCCCCAATGCGCCGCCGAAAATCAGCGTGAACGGAACCCAACTGCAAGTGGTGGAGAACTTCCCGTACCTGGGCAGTACTCTCTCCCGCAACACCAAGATCGACGACGAAGTCGCCAACAGGATCTCCAAAGCCAGTCAAGCCTTCGGTCGCCTCCAAAGCACAGTTTGGAATCGTCATGGTCTCCAACTGAGCACGAAGCTGAAGATGTACAAGGCTGTCATCCTGCCGACGCTACTGTATGGAGCGGAGACTTGGACGGTGTACGCAAAGCAGGCACGTCGTCTGAACCACTTCCACCTCAGTTGTCTTCGTCGCATCCTGAGGCTAAAGTGGCAGGATCGAATCCCCTACACTGATGTGCTGGAACGGACGGGAATCCTCAGCATCTACGCCATACTGAGGTAAATTGAGCTGCGCTGGAGCGGCCACCTGGTGCGCATGGACGACGAGCGACTACCCAAACGACTCTTCTACGGAGACGTCGCGACGGCTTCTCGCCGTCAAGGAGGCCAGATTCGCCGTTACAAGCATACCCTGAAGTCCTCCCTGAAATGCCTGCAAATCAACCCGACCAACTGGGAGGAGCTCGCACTCGATCGACCGACCTGGAGGAGGACAGTGAAGACAGGCGCTGCGATATACGAAGCCAACCGCATCGCTGCCGCCAAAGCGAAACGTGAAGCCCGCAAATCACCACTTCGCCCAGTAAGCAACGCCGCCGCACAACCGCTTCCAACGTTTCCTCGATATCAACGGACATTCCGGGCTCGAATCGGACTTGTTGGATATCTTTGGATTAACTGCGCCTCTCGAACGGCACCAACCAGCGTCCCCCCGCCCGCCTCTTCCTCCTCCTCCTCCTCTCCGCCGCCAACTAAATCTGACAATTCTTCTGACCCACCACTTCCATCCTCCTCCTCCTCCTCCTCGTC